TTGGGTCATGTCAACAGTGTCAATTTAGGGGAATTACAGAGGTGGGACTGAACCACTTTTGTCCCACAGGTTTCAATGATAGCAAATCACATCTATTGATAGAAATGAATTATTTAGGGTTACAAATGATCAGACAAAAAATCTTCATCAGAATTATTTACTGCACAATAGAAACACTAAAACTACCAGCAGGACAGCATAAGATAGGACAGTGCTCTACACTAAAGCAATTGTTGAAGCAATTCTACTCAAGCTGGCACCAAAGCAAGAATTATGAATTAGAAAGGGATGGAACTCCCCCAGACCAACGCTCGTGGGGAGATCTCTGCTCTCAACCTCCAGCACTGACCTTGGGGGTCCCAGCCAAGGCAGGAATTTCCACACCCCCCCCCAAGAAGGGTTCTGTTGGCACAACCTGCCCCTGGCAAAGGGGACTGGCCCTTTCTGGTAGAAAGGGATGGACTGACAGTCCCTGGACTTCAGGGGTTGCCTCACCATCAGGGGGATCATTTGGGGTGGGAGCAGCGGCCAAAGCTCTTCCTGCAGTCGGGGCACTTGTAGGGCTTCTCTTACTGGTGGGTCCGATGGTGTCTGGTCAAGGTAGACCTGTCGCTGAAGCTCTTCCTACACTCCCCACACTTGTAGGGCCTCTCCCCAGTGTGGATGCGCCGGTGGGTGATCAGGGTGGAGTTGAGTTTGAAGCCCTTCCCGCAGTCGGTGCAGCGGAAGGGCTTCTCATCTGTGTGTATCCGCTCATGCAGGAGGAGATTCCCGCTGGTCTGAAACCTCTTCCCACATTGCAAGCACTTGTAGGGCCGTTCCCCAGTGTGGATGTGCTGGTGTCGGATCAGGTTGGAGCTCTCCCTGAAGCTCTTCCCACATTCCAAGCACTTGTAGGGCCGTTCCCCAGTGTGGATGAGCTGGTGGTTGCGGAGGGTGGAGCTGTAACTGAAGCTTTTCCCACACTCCTCACACTTGAAGGGTCTTTCCCCAGTGTGGGTACGCTTGTGTTGGATCAGGCGGGAGTTGTCCGCGAAGCTCTTCCCACATTCCCCACATGAGTAGGGACGTTCCCCAGTGTGGATGCGCTGGTGGGTGATCAGGGTGGAGCTCTGGTTGAAGCTCTTCCCACATTCCCCACACGTGTAGGGCCGTTCCCCAGTGTGGATGTGCTGGTGCCTGAGGAGTTGGGTGCTCTTCCTGAAGCTCTTCCCACATTCCAAGCACCTGAAGGGCTTCTCCCTGTTGGGAGGCTGCTCAACAGATGCACCACAAGACAGGGCCAAAGGGGCACTGACTTCCTCCTCACCTGCCTGAGGGGTCTGCAGTTTTTTCCTTATCCTTGCAGCCTCTTCCTCCATCCACCCAAGCTTTGGGAAGGACAAATCCTGCTGGGGGGAAAACAAGGGCTGAGCACGTTGCCTTGGGGGTTCCTCCTGCCCAAGTCCATCTCTCGATTTCACTGGCCATCATGGGACCCTAAAAACCTCCAAAACACCAAGATTCAGCCCAAAAAATCCCAGCCAGGAACTCCTCCTCTCTGGTCTCTCCACTGTGGGATTTTGGAGGTCCCCCCTTTCTGGGCTGCTGGGAGTCCCATGAGTATTTGAGGTCTCCCCTCCACGGGGTCCCTGCCCTCTCCAGGCTGCTGGGGGTCCCAGGAATCCAAGGCTCCCCCATCTCCCAACTTCAGGGTTCTGGGGGACATCCCTCTCCAGCACTCCCCTTTTTCAGGGTTCAGGCGTCCCTGCCTTCTCCCCACCTTCCTGCTGCTGGAAATCAGCACTTTGGAGCCTCATCCCATTTTTTCCTCCTACTCTTCCCTATTATTATTGGGATCCCCCTGCACCCCTTTTTTCCCTTGAAAAGGAAACCCCTGCCAGGCCATTCCTGGTTTTCAAGCCTCCAGATCCCCCTTTCTTTGATTCCAGGACCCCCCTGCCTCCCCTTTCCCAGTCATCCTGCCTCTCCATGCCCTTGGATCCCCCTTTCC